CCATGTGGGCTTTGATGCTTCTCAGTTAGATGGCCGCTTGTTTACCTTCAAGCCTTTAAGACCCCAGATGCTATATCTTTTGATAGCCAGGCACCATCAGCTTTCTTCACCACATTTGCTTATGCACCCGTTTTGTCTTCAGCAATCGTGTAGGGAAGGTGAGCATCACGGAATGCCAGGTTAATACAATAAAGTGTTCTTGCTCTGAGTAACCCACAGGGCTCCTTTCATTCTTTGTTAGAGATACAAATGAAAACAACTAAGAGATCCCATTTCACACCCACTAGAATGGATTTTTTTGAGGGGTGGGTGTGGGTGTAATTTGTACTACATTATCACTGTGGGTTCAGTGTTGGAAGCAATTCCTGAAGAAGGGTAGGTATCATGCTAGGTAAAGCAGCGAGTCAATGAAAAAGGGGACACTCCTCCATGTGACAGACTGACACACAGTGACTGCAACAATGGGCTCAAGCATGGCAACAGTAATGATGCCACAGGGCACTTGGCGGTGTTTCCTTCTGTTGGACACAGGGTTGCTGTGAGTTAGAACCAACTTGATGGCACCAAACAACAGGATAACAACTATTTGCCAGAAAAACAAAACAAAACTTGAAAACAAGTGTCCCGGAAACTGTAGTGGCGATGTACATTAGACATTGGACTGCTAACTTCAAGGCTGGCAGCCCACCACTGAGCTCCACAGCAAGCAGATGAGGCTGTCTGCTCCCCTGAAGATTTACAATCTGGGGAAAACCCTGAGGTACAGTTCTACTGTGTTGTACAGGGTCACTATGCATCCGAATCAATTCAATGGCATTGGGTTTAGTTTTTTTTGGTGGGGGTGGTGGTGGGGGGAAGGGAACCCTTTTGCATTGCTAGCGGGAATGTATACTGATGTCGCTTCTGTGGAAACCAGTTGGGAAGTTCCTAAAAAAGTTACACACACTCCTGGGTACATACTGGTACTTAAAAGACATGAGAGCCCAGGCTCAGCTACTTATACACCACTATTCACTGCAGTGGTATTATTAACAGCCATCTAAGTGTCCAGCAGAGGAATAAACAAAAGGTGGTATATACAACGCTTCCAAAAGTTCATAGGAAAATTCCACTATCTTTCAATTCCATTTTTTCATGAGCTTTTTGAAGCCCCTTTGTAAGTACAATGGAGTATTATTCAGTCATGAAGAGAAACAAAGCTAGGGCATCAATCAACTTTGAAAACATGCCAAGTGAGAGGACTCTGACATTAAAGAGCAAATATTGGATTGCATGATTCCATTTATATGAGTTATATGAAATAGGTAAATGAGACAAAAGTCTATTAGTGGTTACAATGTGTTAACGATGGGGTGAGGAATTGGGTACACAGTTCCTGTTTGGGGTAATGGGAAAAAATTTTTTTTAAGAATACTGGTGATGCTTGCACAACATGGTGAATGTATCAAATGTCACCATACATACTCGAGAAGCCCTGGTGTTTGGTGGGTTATGTGTTGGGACACTAACTGTGTGGTCGGCAGCTCAAAACCAAAAGCCGCTCCATCGGGGAAAGGCACAATTTTCTACTCTTCAGGAGTTACGATCGCAGAAGTCTATGGGGCAGTTCTCCCCTGTCAAAGAGGGTTGCTATGAGTTGGAACCAACTCAATGGCAGTGGGTCTGGGTATATACTGTAAAATGGTTAAAAAGGCAAATTGTTAAATATATGTCACCACAAGAAAAGTTTTAATTAAGAAATTGTCCAATATTAAAACAACAACAAAACTAGAGAACAAAACAAGCACCAGGCCTTAAATCCAGAGGTAGACACTAAGGTTAGGCACTTTAACTCAGCAAAATAAAGAACCATGAACCAAGAAGCACGAAACACAGGCTTCAGGGGTCAATTTAACCAACTTCATTTATTCTGTTTGGAGCACAAATCAGCATCGCCTGTTTAACATTAGGCCAAGGCTCTTCTAGCTGTCCAATGATAAATTTTTGTCAAAGGCTACTGACATGTCAAACCCCTAATGTCAAATGGACCATGTGGAATTTCTCACATGGGAGAGAGGAAATTCAGAGATAACAAAGTACATCTGGCCAGGACGCACTTCGGTGTGTGCACTGTGACTGCTCTGAGATTGACAAGGAAAGCACACCTCTTATTGACAACAATAGGCTGGGGGTGAGAGCAGAAAGCAAGCAAGCTGACCATGAGAGGGAAGGCAGGTAAGCAAAGGAACTACACAGGTGAGATTTCCACAGAGGAAGTTAAAGGCATTCCGTGAGGAAACCAAAACCGGGGAACAAAGTTGTAAAGGGATGGCAACCAGGGGACAAGGGAGCAGATTCATGGGGCTGCACATAAGGATGGGAGGGGTTGGGCAAGCCAGGGTGACAGAAAGATCCATGTTGCATCTGGGAGGACGCCTGTATGAAAAATGTGGCTCCCAATTTTGTGGGGAGTGGAAGCCACTGCCCCATACTTTTTTTCCCTTCTAGAAAGGACCACAGTATTAGCACCAACTTCTTGAAACCCCTGTATATGATAGAACCTGCTACCTCCAATGTGAGCACAAAACCTTGCCTATAACGTCGCTTAATGAATGCCTGAAATCAATTATAAAAGTCACCTTCTCAAATTAGGGCAGTAATTTATTATGACAATCTCATTACAGCGGCCCTAATAATCCTGCCCAACTTCTCCTACTGAAATCGCATATGCTCCAGGTTGACAGCATCTGTAGCACTGGGTGATGCCAAGGGTTAATTAAGTGTTGAACTGCTCACCTCCGGCTTGAACCCACTAGAAAGAGCTGAGTCTGCCTCCACCAAGAGCGACACCCTGGGAAGCCCTAGTTGGCAGTTCTATTTGAGTGGGAGTAGGGCTCTGAGTTGGAATGGACTTGATAACCATGGTTAGGTTTGCAGGTATTTTGGGGGTGGGGTGGGGTAGGGTGGTGGTGACCGGGAGCAGAGCTGAACATTTCCCCAACCCCAACACTGTTCATTATACAGTATTTGAGCAACACATTCTGATCATGCTTCCTCTGTCCACTTGTTATGACACGGTCCTGACTTTCTTTTGTGTTTCTCTATTCAACAGGAGAAAACTGTGGTTCCAGTTGGTGCTTCATTCACTCACTATAATCTCTCTCTCACTGCCATCAAGTCAATTCTGGCTCATAGCAACTCTATATCAGCTTTTAACATTTAAAGCGCATTGGTAAGTTACCTATGAAAACTCAGAAATGTCTTATCTCGAAAAACCTGTCCCAATGACCTGTCCTCTTAAAATAGACACAAGAAACTAACTAGACAGTGAGATACTTGAAAGAATTCTCGGCAACTTCTTCAGCTCATATTTGGCATACTTTAAAAACTATCTACTTCTCCTCAGGCAACCTGATAAAGCACAAGGGACTTCAAAAAGTTCATGGAAAAATGGAAATCATAATGGCACTGTCCCACCTGCATTTTTAAGCCACTCCCCTGCCCTCAGCACTTATTATAGCAAAGTAGAGCAAACAGTTAAATACTGCTTGCAGTATTTGGAAAGCAGTCCAGGTGGTGTAGATGACTAAAGTTGG